TGTGAGAATAATAATTGTAAATAAAGTTCTATTTAAATAATAATAGTATAATTAAACTTTAAAACTAATTATGCACTACCGTGAACTACTTGAATTTTAGTCGGTGAGAGATCACCACGTTGTGTCCTCAAATCACAACCGTTTGTTTTAATTTTTGTTTTTTATTTTTGAGAATGATTTTGTCTCTTTAATTTATTTGGTAGATTTTACAGATACCATGTCCACATTATGTACATTTGTTGGTTTGTACTGCTCATGGGTTCAATCTTTAGAGTAGACATTATTTTGCCTCGTTAAATTGTTTGGTTTATGCATATACGCCCTTCATCTTGTAAATATTTTTGAATTAACATTTAATAATTTCATTCAGGTTTACATTTCAATTTAAACTATATCCTTATCTTCATACTATGTATATGCAATAAGAATTCATCAATTTATCAACTTACTCTTACTTAATGAATTAGTATTTGAATTTTAAGGGTATTTTTATCTACCGAAAGATTTTTCCAAACTCGTGCTTTTAAAAGGAGTATGATTGAACTTATTCGCCCCCCAGAATCTTCCCAACCTCCGCCTCTGTTGGTTGTCTACACTGGTGAAGTCTTCCCATATGTGCACAATTCCTTTCAAATATTCCTAACCTCCACCTCTATGAGCACTCAAGTATAAATTGTTTACCTTTTTATGTATAATTTTCCCTTCGTCATATCATTGTAGCTGAAACTTTTTAAAAATACTAGTATAATGCATGAACGTTGCATATGGGCATAATTATTATTTATTCAAATAAATAAATTTTAATTAATTATTCAATTAATGAGAGTCTCTTACATAAAATATATAGAATAAATGAGTTTTAGTGTCGATTGCGCGTTCATTTGAAGCCATATAAATCAACTTGCATTTTCACAAAGAACCTCATATTGGTACAAAATAAGAGGTTTATGCTTGCTTGAAATATTAGTCTAGAATTTAAAGTTTGGTCCCATAGAATAGAGCATATTAAAATTATATAGATTAAAGTCTCCTAAAGTCAAGGTTAGATTTTATCGAGATAAAAATAAATTTTAATTAGAATATCTGTACACCATTTATCTACATTCTATCTCTAGTAACCACTTATAATTTGCAAAAATCCTAGATAAATAATATCATTACAATAATAAAAATATTATATATAATATAAAATACTCTCTATATTTTAAGATTTTTTTTTCCTTTTTTTCTAACAAAAGAGATTCTAAACAAAGAAATATAAACTTTTTTTAAATTTAATATAGCTAATATTCTTTACGAAAATATGTGTATATATAATATCATACACAACGTGATTCCCTAACATAAAACCGTATACTTGAATACTTGATCTTATGTTGTAATGTTAATTTTGAAAATAAATTAATGAGATATATTATTTTTATAAAAACTTGAATTGCACAAACATCCTTCATTGTAAAATTAACCATATGCAAGCCCTTTGATAATCGCTATATTTTTTAAAACTCCATAATTTTTTAAAGAAGAATATAGAACTTCATACTGCTAAGCTAGATTTATAGACAATTCATATGAATTTAATTCACAAAAATCACTCATCATAAATCTAGTAGAACAATGTAGTTTATCTATTAAAACAAATAAATAATAGTGAGCAAAATGTAAAAGAGGTTCGTGTAAATTACCACAAGGAGGAAAAAAATTTACTAACCTTAAATTTTCTTGTGAAGGAGACTAAAGAACTCCAGAATCCATTTGTAGTTGAAGGAATCTAAGATTTTTTAAACTTTCCACATGTGAACCACCTACAAAGCAAAAGAAAAAATAACAAAGCATTAATTAATCTTGATCCATATCAGGGTCGGAATGAGAATAAAATTTTGATCGCTAAATGCTCATGGCTAGAATGGGAAGAAAAACAAACTAATCTAATAAATATTGTTGCGTGAGAAGCCCCTCGATCTTTTCGGAACAATTCTTCCCCCTTCCTTGTATTGATCCAATCTTAAGTCAAATCCTCAAGGTGTCTTATCATCTGTGTCAAAGACCATAATGGAATGATGAATGTCTCATCAAGATGAAGTTCGTAATTTGATTTCAAAAGGAGACTATCTTCAAGACGTGAGCGGGAGGTTCATTGACTTGAGGTTATGAAGAAGAGGTTTACCTCTTAATTAGTTATTATTACATACAAGCTAAACGGTTACATAGCAGTTAAAAGGTCGAACGTTATGAATTAAAATTTGCCTACCCACTTGCCTTTCCCCATGTTCGAAGTCCAATAGCTTGTTCTCTGAATACTCACTAAACCACATAAAAGCAAAGCTACTCTAGCATATTAATAGAAAACTACTTGTTCTCTGAATACTCACTAAACCACATAAAAGCAAAGCTACTCTAGCATATTAATAGAAAACTATAAAGATTATTTATTAATTATAACATATATATTGCATGGAAGTTACAAAGTTTCTTGCCTATTAACTGAATATAATAACATCACCACATAAAAGGCATAGCTATTCTAACATATTAATAGCTAATTATAAAGATCATTTATATGTGCATGTAAGTTACAAGCCAGTTATCTGATCTCTAATATTTTAATTATTGGATCAATTAGAGAGGGGTGAGGCGTTAGACTTAGAAAGTGATTATGGGATTAATTAATTTAATTTTTTTTTGGATTGCATGTTGCTGTCAATAATCAATAATTAATTAATGGAAAAATATGAATAATGATGATAATTTTTTGGATTGCATGTTGCTGTCAATAATCAATAATTAATTAATGGAAAAATATGAATAATGATGATAATAATGTGTGTATATGTGTTTATGTATGTATGTATGTGTTTTATATGTGTGCATGTATGAGTTTTGGAGGACATTTTGGGAAGAAGTATGTTAACATCCCAATCCATTTTTATAATAGTATTAGATTACTCAACTATACATACCACTTAACGGTTACAACTATACTTAACAGTTAACAGTTACTTAACTATACTTAACATGGAACAGGTAAAAGTTAACAGTTAATCAACTATAGTTCACATGTATTAGATAAAACACAATAGTTAATCAACTAAATTTAATATTTAAAAGGAAAAAAGTTAACACTTACTCAAACTATACTTAATATAGAACATGTAAATGTTAACAGTTAATAGCTATAGTTCACATTTATTAGGTAAAACTTAATAGTTAATCAACTAAACTTAACATTTAAAAGAATAAAGTTAACACTTACTCAAACCATACTTAACATGGAACATGTAAACATTAACACTTAATCAGCTATAGTTCACATGTATTAGGTAAAACTTAGCAGTTAATCAGTTAAACTTAACATTTAAAAGGAAAAGTTAATACTTACTCAACTATACTTACATAGAATGGGTAAACGTTAGCAGTTAATCAACTATAGTTCACGTGTGTTACATAAAACTTAACAATTAATCTACTAAATATTTGTACATCCATTAATTCAAATGAATGTTTTTGTATGTAGGCTTTTATTTCTCAATTACAAACACATTATGTACAGACTACATATACTTGTCAAGCCAAAAAAATAGCCTATGTACAATATAATTTAAAACAAAAACTAATCCTCTCAACAATATCACTCGTATCTTATGAATGACCAACAAAAATAAAACAACAAAATCATAGCAATTTGAGCTGCTTCTTTTGATGAATTCAGACTTCAATAGTATGGAAAAGCTCCAAGCAACAACATTCTCGTGTGGCATTTAATCAAATACCTTTCTTGCATCCAACTACCATCTGGACTTGAAGTGCCAAAACCCTAATCCTAGCATCCAATTCTGCCTCAACCAGTTCTTCGGCCCCGAAGCCTCCAACTTTGCCATTGGGCACCAGTACCTTGCTCGAAATAGCAACACAGCCCGGTCATTGATTTGTTCTATCTTCCTCAACTCGGCACGCAGAACCTCATAATCAGGTCCCTCACATGCTGCCCACCTTTTTACAGTAGATCCTCGAACTCCTTCCACTCATTCCCCTTCTCCCTCATGCAATCCTTGGTCTAAATTTGGATATCGTACTTTAGCACCTTCTTCAAACCCTTGCACCTAGGTTTCTACACTTGCAGGAGCAGAATCGGGACGTTCTGAGGAGGGGCGGCGGGGGAAGAGGAGGAGGAGGAATGAGAGGAGGAAGGGGAGGGGGTTGGTGATTAGGGTTAGAATTAGGGTTTAAGAGAGGAATCAGAGGAGGTGGGAGAGAGAGGAGAGGATGAGGAAGGAGTAGGGGAAGAGGACGAGGGAATGAGGATCAGGAGGTCGAGGGTGGCAGCAAGGGAGGAGTGATTGTAGCAGGATGAGAAGGAGGTAGGTTTGCTAGGGTTAGTGTTTTTGTGCTTGGATTTTGAGATGGGGAGAGAGGAGGAAGAGATGGAAGAAGAAGGAGGTTGATAGTGCTTTTGAGTGGGTGAAGAGGGGTAAAACGGGGAACATGGGTACATATAATTTTTAGGGCCAATACACAAAGAATAAATATAAGAGGCTGAGCCACATGAAGTTTTCATTTTTTTGGAACCTTGACACAATTTTCCCTAATTATTTCTATCGATGGCTCTATTCGTGGTTAGACAAATTCGTAGTTTCTTCTATTTATATACAAAACTTAGGTGGAAAATATTGTAGTTATATTTGTAATTCATCCAAACTGTACAACAAATAATTAATCTCCAAGGACAACTCTTTTCTTCGCCATCTGCGAATAGATTTTATGCGTATCTTAATAAGTTATGTGTGAACATGCAGAGTTCTTCTACAGAATTGATTGATTGTGTTGATATCTACAAGCAACCGGCATTCGACCATCCATTACTTCTGAATCACACACTGCAGGTTTATCTAATTCTTTTTGGACTTCCGTAAACTACAAGCGAAACTATCAAGTTCCTTTGATTTTTAAACACCACAAGCCATCATAACACTTGGACATTAATTTTTGTGAACCGTCATCCGTGAATAATGCAGATAGAGCCTAGCTTAAAGGCAAGCAACAAAACTACCCATGAAGTGGATTCTCCGACTAAAACTCTTCAGGGTTGGCATGCAAAAGGAAAATGTCCAGAAGGGACAGTCCCAATACGAAGAGTTAGAAAGGTGGATATCCTGAGGGGAGCCTCAGTCGAAAGCTTCGGAAAGAAACATCCATCATTCCATATTTCGCGGGAAAATGAAGAACCTGCAGATACTGTATCTAATGGGCATGAGGTATAAAGTTTAAGCCGTAAATAGTATATGCCTTTAGTATTGAACTAATTAAATGTTTTCCTGGTGCAGCACTCTGTAGTTGTGCAGAGTGGTGATCGATATTACGGAGCGAATGCTGACATAAACTTGTGGAGTCCTCGTGTCAGACCCAATGATTTCAGTCTTTCGCAGATATGGATTATATCAGACGAGAGCATTCAGAACACAGCTGAAGTAGGAATCATGGTATTGTCGTCTTCACTGTTTTATAATGACAAAATGCAATCTACTCCTCTATACGAATAGGAGAACCCAAGATTCACTATTCATGCTATAGTAATGCTACAATAGCATTTACTATATCTTTACTGTTGTAGCAAGCAGATGGATACCACGGTTTTTGAAAAAGTATATTGCAGCACACGAGAATACTATAGTGGGGGAAAAAAATATCCCGTGCTTTGCACGGTGTTCACACTAGTAGTTACTGAAAGGTTAAAATAACCATTTTGATAATCCATTAAAAAAAACAAGAATACTCATTTAACCTTGAAAATTAAAACAAGAGAGTGAACGTTTTGCTGCGTTGCTAAGTTAGATAGTTCTATTTCTCTTTTTCCCCAGTTATGTTACCCAAAAACAACTCAAAACAATGTTTTTCATCTCATTTTAGGTATATCCAAAGCTTTATGGAGACTATGAGAGTAGACTCTTTGTATACTGGACGGTACAGTACACATAATTCTATTGCAATTAGGAGTCTCATTTCTTGTATTTTATTTTCTCAAATGTTCCTTGGATTATCCTGAATTACACAGGCGGATGATTACAAGAGCACAGGTTGCTACAATTTGATCTGTTCAGGTTTTGTTCAAGTCAGCAACTCTATCGCCTTAGGTACCGCATTTTCCCCACCATCTACTTATGAAGGGGTTCAGTACAGCATCACTATCTTCATTATCAAGGTAATAAATTGGGTTTAGCATATAATTTCTACTTAATTTATTATGCATATCTTCGCACAAATAATTACCTGTATATAATCATTTGAGTTCTCTAGTCCTTGGTGAAAAGAAAATTTGTCCACAAATTTTTAATTAGTTAGCTGTTTTGTTATATGGCATTCCTAACGATTTGTTTACCAAGTGAACCAAAGCCCCTTTTCTGATTAGCGCTTTATTGTAAGATTCGTGTGTCAATATAGTCTCATATTGAAAAGAATTAAAATGGTACTGGAGTTAACTACAAATTAGGACTAATTCCTAATAATTTAGGCTTCTAATCATGGTGTTTTTCTTGTTATGTTTTTGTAAAAAGCACCATGGTGTTGTGTTTTTCCCTTAAAACGTTTTCAAAACACCATGTTAAGTGTTTTTGGTCAATACTAGTTTGACTCATTACAACATTAGTATTAAACATATTATTAATATATTATATATTAATTAGATAAAATATATTATAAATAAAATATTATAATATGCCAACAGCTTCGGTGCTCCCAAGCAGTTGGTGTAGTTTGTTTCCTTAAAAATCTCTCTCACATCCTAAATTTGAGGGATAAGGTAGTTGACAGTAGTTCCACACCCAAAAAAATAATTTCACTTAGATAAAAAGGTTATTTTAGGAAGTATAAATAAGAAGATAAATAGGAAGTAGTTAGAATTCTCCAACTTTTATTTTTTTGACGTGGTTTTCTTCTCCAATCGCCTAATTCATTGCGCGGATGACCAAACCTAATGTAATTTAATTTTTGATATGGTCATCGATCCTATGAAATACTTCATACGAGCGTCTTCTTTCTCTAGAGTATTGAGCCCGAGATCATGAGTGTCGCCACCGGGCCAATCTGACTGGAAATAAATTGTTTTTGCATGGAGGAACTGTATGTATGAGCCCGGCATTAATTGGCTTTCTCTTAGGCCTTGGGAACCTTCATTCGATTAATTTTCAACTAAACAACTGAGATTTTGAATGAACATGATTGCTTTGTTTAAGTTCATCAACATGGTTGATGGTCGATTTTCTTCGGATCCAATTTCCTTGTATCGCATTCAATCACATGTTAGATTTCTTGTTGATATCTTTATTGAGGAATTTTCTTAGCGTAATTCACCTGTGATTCTATTTAAACGGATTTATACGCGTTTGATGGAATTCTGTGGATGAGAAATTGGTAGGGACGAAGATTTTTTTTGTTTTTTATTTACCCTTTTTTAAAAATAAATTAATAAACGATTTTAGGAGCACCGAAGCAAAGCCCACCAAAGTTTAAAATGAGGAAAAGTTTGGGGTATTTAAGTGCAAATAACATTTCCCCCTTAAAAACGCTTTTCTTTGGAAAAAAAGTTCCACGAATTTTCTATAAAAAATAGTTTTTGCTTTATTAAAATTTCATGATATTTTCTTATCAAAATAGTGAGTAAGAGAAGGGAGGATTTCTCCTCTTTTGCGTTGCTAATTCAAACTGAGGTTGAATAATAGGAATGATCTAATCTAAACACTAAGGACAAAACTACCCATTTTGTTCTTCTGCCTATTTTCGAATTTTTTACTATTTTTAAAATATAAAAATGCCTAATTTCGGAGTATCAAAGCAATCCTCTTCTCAAAAAACGACAGTACAAGTGTATTGCTACTTATAACGCCTCAACTAAATTGGCGGTCAAAGACCAGCTAGGAGTCCAACACAACCGACTCGACGAGCCGACATCCCTCAATATCGACTCGAAAGACGGTACCAGACGGCTCTCTCATCAAAAGTAACTCGCTAGGAACCATATCAATCCAGTCGAGTCAACGGCTTTTTGAAGACGACTCGAAAGGCGATACGAGTCATCGTGCAACCCAAATAAGTCGACCCTCCTCACAAGTCCCATCAGGAGAGACATTGCTTATCGGCGAAGCTAGAGAATCCTCTATGAAGCTTATCTATTCTGACACAAGTCACATCATATTCATAAATATACTATGCGTCATCACGCCACTTGTCAACCTCTGGAAGCTTTGACATCCTCTCGATCGCTCCTCAAATCGAAGCCGAAGTGATTTCCCTTCTGTCGTCAGCCGATACGTGTAGAGTAAAGGATGACTCAAACTTCCAGCTCGCACTTTGTCACCGTCATTGGCATGACCGAAGTGACCAATCTGCCCCCATCATCTCTATAAATACAGGCACACCATTCGAGCTAGCAAGAGGTTCGCAATCTACAACCCTCTAATACATATATCGTATCTGAACGAGAACATAGTTCTTTGGATTACCTCACTCAAGTTCATCTATTGACTTGATTGTCGGAGGTATCAAGGGGGAATCACACCCCGCCCTCTAACGACTTCTTTATATACAGATCGCTCAGTCATCCTAACTCATGGACCAAGCATAAAGTCGAAGAAGAAAGCGACCCCTCTTTTTTAGTGAAATTTTGTGACTCTAATTGGCGTGTGAACCATTGCATCAACACCAACTATGGGTGTATTTTTTAAATTATCAAGGGCCTGGGCAGTCAATGGGGGCAAAAGTGTATAGGAAAATTGATACGAGGACTTAATATTGTAACTGCTCAAAATTATAAAATAAATATAAAAATATATTTTAACCATGATTTCCATATAAAAATAAAGGTTAAATAATATTTTTAAAAATGATTGACAAAATAATTTATAAAATTGTGTGTGCCGCTAGAGTATATATATTTTTGTAGACTTTTAAAATACATATAAAGTAAGGGGAAATTGTGTCAATGCCCCAAATTCTAACTTTCAATGTGTCGCAGCCCCCCATATTTTTTTAATGTACTACAGCCCCTTCTTTTTGAAAAAATTGTGTCCAGGCCCCTCCATCATGATTCCAGCTCATGCCAGCGAATGATTAGACATGTCAGCTCATGATTAGACATGTCAGTTGGCTTAAATCCCAAATTTATCCTCATTTTTCTCATGCCAGCGGATGTTAACTCTTACAGTTAACATGTTAACTGTAAGAGTTAACATGTTAACTGTAAGAGTTAACATGTTAACTGTAAGAGTTAACATGTTAACTGTAAGAGTTAACATGTTAACTGTAAGAGTTAACATGTTAACTGTAAGAGTTAACATGTTAACTGTAAGAGTTAACATGTTAACTGTAAGAGTTAACATGTTAACTGTAAGAGTTAACATGTTAACTGTAAGAGTTAACATGTTAACATGTTAACATGATAACCATGACCGCCGCCGCCCACACGAAGTTCCTCGGGAATGCGCCAACGG